AAGATTAGAACCGCTGAACTGCAGATAACAGTCAGCTGAAGTGGCCTGCAGTACTGCACCCTAACCACTGCGCCACACTACAATATACTGCACCCTAGCCACTGCGCCACACTACAATATGTACAGCATTATAAGGCAAAAAATATATAAAATAAAAGGACCATGTCAACCAGTCCAAATAAAAAAAGTTATTTAAAATGCCCAGATAATGTAATATATGTTTTAGCAGTCAAAATGTAATGCAAGGTTATATACTATAGTGGCACCAGTTGTGAGCAAGTTACTTCACAAGCAGAGCATTGTGATATAGAAATGATGCTCCCTCTTCTGAGAGAGAGGGGGGGGGGAAGAGAGATATGGATATATCTGTCTATCTGTCTATCGATGATAGACAGACAGACAGACAGACAGACAGACAGACAGACAGACACCTGCACTGCTACATTCTGTAATCTCATGCCTAGAATTAGAGGGATTTTAGAAACTCAAGGTTCACTTTAAAATTAATCTAGCACAGTAATCAGTGACTCTGATTTTGACCGTGGGTCAAAATATATAGAGCTGAGTGAGTGTTTGAATTACCCAAGGTCAAAATCAGACTCCCTGATTACATCCCAGATTATTTTTTTAAAGTGAACCTTGAGTTTCTAAAATCCACCTAAATGTATTCAGGCATGTTGAATAGAAGTTTTAAAAATATATATTCTAACAGGCTTTCTGGATAAATCCTCTGTTGTTCTTTGTTTCAACATTAGGTGGCTATTGAGTATTGGACGTACAAACTAGAAACCTGCTTAAAACTGTATTTTATACATTTTAATCAGAAGATGGCGCACTGCCTCTTAAGAATTGGGTGGAAGCCAAATGGTTTTATAAGTGTGTAATAGAATAACATCTAAGTTGTTTGCAGTACAAATCATTCTATGTTAACAGCAATTTATCTGCTACTAACATGGTTTCTTTGGAAGATTTTCTTTTCTTTCAAGAAAAAAATAAATAAGCCTATTAGAGATGTCAGTGGCTCTACTTCATATTTATATTGCTATGTAAAGTCATTCAAGGTCATTTAGGGATACATAACCATTGGTATAAATTGAAACTGGGGGATTGTTAAAATTAAGTGTAAATGTTGAAATGAATTCTTGTACAAGCCTATCTAGAAATAATCTGTAATAATTCTCAGATTTGTTCCCTATAAGGCTGTATTACATTGTAATATTTAATAAGAATGCCCCAGATATGCTTTTTCAAAAGGCAACTGGGCTTTCTATGTAGTACAGTATTATAATTCTGATAATATATTGGTTTGATGATGATTACCTGATAGTTCTACAACCTCTCCTGGGAAGGAACCCAATGAGATTCATTGATTCTTCATGTCAATATTGTTTCTATTTTATTTTGTATTATTTCAGCATTTAAAAAGACCATTTGGAAAATATGCTATTCTAAACTAAAATATTCATGAAAGGAGTGTCCAATTTCTTTACTTCAGGAGTATAAAAAGAGAGAGAGAAAATTTCAGCAACTCATCCTATATGTGATACATTTAAGATAAAAATTGACTATTCAGATATATTGTTACAAAGAACTTAAAGTTGGGTATTGCTGATCAAGCATTTGAATGAGTATTAAATAATCAGATCTGATACATTTTTACCTGAAGGCTGTTAAAATTAAACTCTGAGAATATATAAAACACATTCTAATTTCCAGCCCCAAGCAACATGGATTTATTTTTCATTGCCTTTCCTTTTTTTAGTTCTGTAACTTTCCACCATTTACATCATTTACAGAGCTTGCCAGTCTGAAATGTTTGCTAGCAAGAACAAAATTTCCAAAACAAATTGCTTAAGAAATAAGAATAGATATTTGATATATAGCCTCCGAGTTCCTTTTATCATATAAGGCAGTCTTCTCAACCTTTGCAATCCTGTGAGTCTCTCACTCTATGATTAAAAGCAATTATGGTACTTCATCACATTTATAGTTGGGCAAGGAAGAACTGTACTGTTTATTTTTCAATAATTCAATTTTAATCTCTGCATCACAGGCATTTTCAATCATTGAAATACCAAAGCTGTCCCCAGTGGGCTTGCTAGGCAAAAGGAAGCAGGTTTTGGAAGTGATTCCCTGCTGGCTTTGCTTTCTGTTTTGTCTTGCATAACCCTGACCCTAAAATTTTGGCAATCCTGGGTGTTCATAACCCACATTTTCCAAATCCTTAAAATTTATAACAAAGTAGCACTCTGTCACACATATCAATGCATCACTAGCTTCACACATCTTTGGAGAATCATTTCCATCAATTGTATATATTTTGGAGAAACCTTGGGGAAAATAAATCTTCCAGGACTAAGTCAGAAAAATGGATGAAGTGCGTGGTGATTCCATTTACCAAGTTGACATAGATAGCGGGGACAGAGGTGGGGTGCAAGAGAGATATTGTGACAACTTTATAGCTAATCACTTCCAGCAAGTTTAGCAACTGCTGCTGTATACAGTTTTGCAGCATGTACTAGTCAATAAGACTAGAGAATCTATGGGTGACTAAGGCTGAAATAAAGATTTTCAGAATAAACTCTTGGTGCATTAGATTGTTAGTCCCCTATTCTTTCTCAGCCACTATTTCCTAATTTATCGAGTGGGCAATTGTTCCATATTGTGATAGCAAGTGTCCCATTCCACTCTGCATTATTTTGATCCTGGATTTGCAAGGTTCCAGTAAACCTAATATCAGAAATGCAGTTCAAGAAGGAATGGGGTGTTTGAATTACTGTCTGNGGGGAAATGGTACTTTTTCTTTTATATCTGAAAGAGGATATACATTATTTAACCCTACAGCATTCTAAGGAGAATGAAAATTTGAATCATTTTCAGCATATAGTTAGATACAGAGGAGTCTAACCTTAATAGCATCAAAGAGCTTCATATTTTTGAATCCTATGTGGCTATTAGTTATAGCTAGCCACTGTGGCTAATGCTGGAAACTAAAAACCACACTTCTGAAAGGCACCAAGATTGTGGAATGCTACAGTACAGTACAGAGCTGCAGCTATAATAATGAGTGGGATTGAAGGGATCCATATTGAAATCTCATTGGATTAACAAATCATATTTCAGCAAGATATTCTTAGAAGAATTAACAAACTAATATTAACGTATGTGAGACTGGAAAGAAAATATATTTGCTCAACCATCCTCAGTTTATGATGGCAATTCTAGCATAACACATTAACACTATTGGCAGGAGAATGTTGGCATTTGCTGACTTACTTGAATTTAATTTATATAAATGAATTTATATCTGTCTGGAAGAATCAGCTCTAGAGATATTAGCAAAAAAAAAAAAAAATCAAAGCCGGCTTGGGCATCTTTTTGAGGGCCTTCCCTGCAGCCTGGGGTAATGGGAGGCGAAAAACCCAGCTGTCAGGTTGCGATCTACCTCCGGGAATCCTGGCAACGGTTCACACACGCCACGGACGGAAGAAAAAACACAGCAAGGACGGGAGGGGGGGTTGATAGAAGAGGAAAAGCTGTGACCACGGAGCTCTTCCAACACGCGCGTTCAGCCGCTGCTTCTCGTTTGGCGTCGTGCCTGGGCAAGCAAGCCGCATTCGGGCCAGAAGAGCGCAGCCATCGCGCTCACCGGATCCAAACGGTGAGTGCGACGCGCGACGGTTTTTGACATCCCCAAGGGATGGGATGCCCGGGCGGCCCAGAGAGAGAGAGAGAGAGGGAAGGGCTGAGGGGGATGGCGGGCTAAGGTTTTCTATGGGGCTTCTGCGCTGGAAAGAGGGCGCCGGGGGCTGGCTGTTCTTTACTCTTTATCGTTCTCAATTTTATGGCGACATCTTTTTAAAATCTCTGGTGCAGGTCAAACAATACAGTTCTGAGAGGAGTTAAATAGAAAGGCGAGGGGAGGAATCATCACACCGACCTTAGCCTCCTAGCCGATTCCTGAAATTATGTGTATATTTGAAGAAATATAGCAAGAGAAGATATGCATCTGAAAATCAGTTGTTAGAAAGAGTAAAATCACCAGAAATCCTGTCTCAATGAGTAAAATGAGTATTAGTGATTATTTCCACAACTGCCTCTCTTTCTGTCACACACAACCTCCCCCTCCCCCTTTATGATGATAATGGTGCATATGCCGGGCTTCATAGGACATGACTTTTCCCAGCATGCATCGTGAAGAAGCCGAATTGAAGGTTTGATTGCGAACCTTTAGCAGCACAAGGCTGACATCAGCTTCATTTGTTGGATTTTCTCTGATTAATCACTGCTGCCATTTAGAGGAATCTCGTTTGAGGCAACCAAACAGAGCCTTCCGCCTCCAGGAAACAAATCCAAATGGGGGCAGAAAGGCAAAGAGAGGATTATATTTAATTGATGCGGTGAATGTGATAGGCTGCCAGCCCCTTGACGTATTTGGCAAGCTGTTTCCTAGCCTTCCCAAATTAAGTGAACAGCACAGTTTGGAACAGAGGGAGAGCGCCATAATATTTCATTGGAAAGTGACTGATGCTTAGAAACAAACCAGGACCAAAATTTGAGATCCTGTTAACCTGCAAAGGAGCAGACCAAAGTTTAAGGTCCCAGCCTCTTCTTTGCATTTGCTAAAGCCTCCCAGAACCACAAAATTGACAATTAAATAAAGAAAACCTGGATAGAATTCAGTGAATATACTGAGGCTTCCTCATAAAGCCTCTGAGGAGTTGAATGTGAGTTTTCAAATTGATTTTTTTTTACCAGGCCATTATTTATCTCCTGGTCCATGTGGAAATGGATAACAATGAACTTGATGTTTTATATTTGTGGTAATGTTGGCTTAAAATTCCCTTTGTATATTCTTCTATAGCGCCCTTTCCCCAAGGCCTGCTCCATTGGACCGGAGCATAATTCAGGTGTTGGGGGAAAGGAGGGACATGGCATTTCATTATTCATTGAGTTCCTTGTTGTCTTGGCATAGGTTACAGAATATAGATGGGTATCGCCATGACTTCAACCTTGCTCTTCAGCCTGTCCCTTCTGCTGGCCTGCAGCATGGCTCTGACTTTCAGTCACAGTGCTAGGAGCCCAGACAGAGTTTCTGAAGCT